GATCATGTTTCCAAAGGCGAAAACGTAATAGAATAATAATGAAAGTATTGATATGCATTTTGTTGTTATTGTTTTTCGTTATTTTAATAACGTTATATTTTTTATATGTTTAAATACATTTCAATGATTATATAAATAATTTACTTATACCAGTGCCGGCCTTAGGGAAGGGCAGGTCGTAGCTTTTCTAAACTGAAACTAATTAAAACATATTTCAGAAACACTGTCGCAAGATCGACTTAACTCTTTAGGCAAGTTATCAATCGAGATTTACGTTTTAATATCTATAATCAATGTTTTGCTGATTTAATTAGAAGAACTTGTTATTTGTGTAAAAAAAACGTCTGTTATAAAATTCATCTAGTTGTGTTGCATTTCTTATTTATATACTTGTTTTCATTTCTACATTTTTTTAAAAATTCAACTTTACATTTAGATTAAAAATTAATTAAAAAATCTCTTTAGCATGTATCCACAGTTGCTGCGCATTGGCCTCACTTGTAACCGTTCGTTAATGTTAAGCTACCTACCTACCATTGCAAATATCAAAAATACATAGGGGCGAATTTTGTTTTGCCCGACCTGTCAAAAATGCTAAGGCCGTCGTTGGCTTATATAACTAAACAACTAGGAGATGGTAAATTAAATTTATATGTTACCGGCACAACGTGAGCTAATTATTATTGTGATTTCAACTACTTAGCAATCTTAATGTAATAATGTACTATGCATATGTAGTGTGTATGTCGGTGTGTGCCTTTGTGTGTGTGTGTGTGTGTGTGTACGTGTATAGTGAACATGTACAAAATAATTTTGACAGAATTGGAAGATACATTTCCGACATTCGTTTGTTCAATTTTTGGTAAAATTAATTTTGAGAGGCGAAATGCAGCTTGAAAACATAATTAAAACGATGTTGTTGTTTGTAATTTCTTTATCAGCCAAATTTCTGTTGAAGTCACGTGCGATTGTAGCGTGTTTGTTCATTCCATTTAGTCAAGTTAAAATATTATCAACTAAATCGCGCAAAAAGTTATAATTGAAGAGGAAGGCGGTTGATAAGCGAAAGCGACCACAATGTTTTTGAGTTGAGCTTTGTTGATGATCTCTACGGCATACATTTCAAATGTTGGTGGCATTGAATCATTTATATCATGCCGTCCTTTAACATTTAATATTTAAAAAGAAGTCTAACACCCCCACTACTTCTCTTCACACTATTTTTTCCAAAATAATAATAACCATCCATTATTAACATATGTCGCTAACTGCAACTAAATCAAATTTTTGAACTAAACTCTCAAGAAATTCATTCAACTCGATCATTTTATTATTCGAGCATCTGACGTTGAAATGAATCAAATTGAAAAAACCGTCGATTTGTGAAAAATATTATTATAATTTAAAGTTATATAGGACATATGTTTGCGCCGAGAATTTAGTAAAATTATTAATAGATAAATTCCCCTCATAAATCAAGCAATGCCTAGTTTCTCACGTGTGCACCTCTCTGCAACCTATGAATTTAAATGTTTTGCTTTTTTTGAACTTGTTGATAATTTCAGTGACATCAAGATAATAACAATAGCAACTTCTTTTTTGAATTCTCCAAAATTATATTTTATGCATTAAGCGATGTACGTAATTTTCTGTGCCCTGTCGCGTTATTTTTCAAACATGTCATGAATGTGTCACTTTAATGCTTTTATGCAAATCATTTTTCAAGTTGATTATTTTCAATTTTGAAATTGTTTTCAAGCATATTTAAAACCAACCTAACTTTTCTTTTTTCAGGAAAAACACAAATGAAATTGTCAAACGTTGTCTTCAAAAGAAGTTGGTACTATTTTTAAGGACAGTTTAAACTTTAAAAATATATTTATCATTTTGACATACATCATGCACTCAACATTGCTTACTGTTGAAAATTATAACTGCATTCTTCCTCTTTGACAACATTTTAAATCGTCGTCACAATGGTCTAATTTTTTATTTCCTTTGAACATAACTTGTGTCAACTGCAACAAGAATTTATGCTGAAATTCTAACCGAACAGTTAAGGAAACTTACTGATAATATAACTTTTAAAATATTTTCAATACATTTTTATTGTTTATTTAATTTTTATATTTGATTCTTAATGATTTAAATATTAAATAAGTTGATAGTCTCGACAACGACAGTATTTTTGATAAGTATTCGTATTTTGAAAAGTTGCATTTTACGCTGAGTAAAACAGCTTGCCTACTCCATTACTTTTTAATTCTGGGTTGAATATACGACAACGCCAATCGCATGCCTACTTCAAAGTAAAAATCATTTGTAGCTTGTATAGAAAAGTTAAAAATCAACTTTTACCAAAATAGATAATAAAATAGCACCGGTATTCTAAAAAAACCTTAGTTATGCTACGATACGAATGTTGCATTGCCCACAAGTCGCTTATTGATTTTTCTTAAAAAATATCGTTAGCGATGCATTCGTTTTTAAGTAATCAAAACTCGTCCTGAAATTTTATAAGAACGTTAAAAATATTTATGGACATATGAAATAATGGAATCCTCCATAATGCAGCTTCTTTTTCAATCAACACTGAAAAATAACGCTGAAGTTTCTTTTCAAAAAATTGAACATGGTCATTTATCGCATTTTATTCATTTACAATTAACTTAACCAATTCTTCAATCGCTGTGCGTAAGTGCTCACTGCCTCCAGGTATAACTTTACGTCGTCAGCTTGGAAGTTTGGAACAAAAAGCTTGAACAGCGTCTCTAGAAACAAACATGGTTTCAAATCTTATTTTTTCAAATGACCAAATATGTCAGAAAAATATGCAAACTGTTAAATCCAAGTTTTTTCATCAAAATATTCACTGAAATATAATTTTTCTTGTACTTTTTGAAATTGTGTCGAGTTCATTTTTCATTCATAAACGCGTTCAATGACATTTTCTTTTGATAACATGCGAACTGCTGTATTCATGATAAGGATTTACATTTTTATAAAAACTTTTTGTTAGTGCGTCATTTGACTGTGTCAACCATTCTATCTTATTAAAAAAACTTTAATGCTGTTTTGAAATTTCAGGAGGAATCATTAGGTGGTTCGAATCATACCTTTTTTGGTAGAAAGCAACAGATTTTGTTAAACAATGTTTTATCATCCATTCAAGAGGTTAATAATGATGTGCCACAGGGTTCGGTACTTCAACCTTTACTATTTCTGCTGTACACAGACGCTGTATTGGATATCATTAACTTATTTGGATTCAAACATCACGCGTTTGCGGACGATGTCCAAATTGTTGCTAGCTGGGACGTGGTTTCATCTCAACTTCTTGTCAAAAAATTTTTTGGTATAAGTCACAAATTGACTTTTGGATGATTGAGCATAAGCTTAAATTAAATCAATTTAAAACACAGCTCCTACCTGTTAGTGTGTGGCAGCGAATAAACAAACTACAATTTGATCGGTAGCATTAAAGTTGAATTATGTCGGTCGGCCTGCAATCTTGGAGTGATTTTTGACTGCTCAATTTTTGATTGCTCAATGACTATGGACTCACTCATAAATACTATAGCTTAAGAGTGTCATCGTCGACTGCGGATGTTGAGATTTATTAGGAGTTCATTGAATGATGTCTCATTAAAAAGGTTAGCCCATGCATTTATCCACACAAAATTAGACTAATCTAGATTACGGTGTTTCAATACAATCAGTTCTAAAACTACAATTGATTCAAAATCGTACCGCAAAATTAGTTGTCTGAAGTTTGACGTACAATCATATGAAGTCTATTTTTTGGAATCTGCATTGGCTTCCAGTGGCTGCATCGGCTTTCAGTGGAAAAAGATAGTTTATACAATTGCCGTTTCGGCATTTAAAGCGCTGAACGGATTGGCTCCTGGTTACCTGGCTGATAGATTGAATAAATCTGGCCTATACCTGGACGTCCGAGATTGAAATCAGATGACAGGAACTAACTGCATGTTCCTTAAACACGTCCGCTGACCGGCGAAAGAACCTTTGGCGTTGACAATGTAGAAATTGGCAAAAAGCTAAACGAGTCCGTCAATCTGCTTGTTCAATTTCCCATTGGGGCATTAGAATGGTGCCTTCATGGTGCAAATTTGCAACAATGACTTTAGCATGTGTTTAGGTTTTTTCAATGGCGTTTGGCTGGAGTGGTAAACAGAGTTGATTATATGCCGATGGAAACATTGGTGATTCCAAATTAAGTAAAGCAAAGTATATTTGTATTATTATTATTGCTATTATTATTGTTCTTATCATTATTATTTTTATTATTGTTAGTTGATCACATAAAATATGTTGCCGGTCGAAATCATTAGACGATCTCTAAGCAAGTCTATACAAATTTACTCGAAGGTATCTGATTCAACAGCGACAAGCTAACTTTAACCTTTCTAGGTGTGGCCAAGTAAAAATCTAATTTCGTCCTCTTTGTAAAGCCAATCAAACCAATAAATATTGTTATAACCGTGCTACCGAACGCACTAGATTCTAGCGTATTCTAGAATGTTCTAGTGACTGGAGCATTCTAGAGTATGCTAGAATCGGACCATCTGAAAGAATCTGGAAACGACGCTTGCGAAGAGTATATAAGCGCACGTCGCAGGAAGATTAGCGATTAGTGAAATTCGTGATTTTGTAAATTCGTGACTCTGTGATTTTGTGAATAGCGATTCGGTGAATTATTTAAAGCGATTTTTGATTTGTTTATTGACGTTGTTATAGCGATAGATTTTGAACAATTTAAAAGTTAATTGTTGCGTTAATTTGAATTTGCTAGAAATAAATGATTAGTTGATTTCTTCTGTAAATAAAGTTTAATAACTAATAATTGTTTGGAGTATTTTATTCAATCGAAGATTTGAACCCGTCGCATCGTAAATCGGTTACGACAGCGAGTATTATAACATTGGTGTCAGAAGTGGAATCTTCGACCAGCGAATTACTACTCATAGAAAAAGAACACGATGTCAAAACTGTGTGGTTTGAACGTAGTTCAGCTACGAGAAGAACTACAGAAACGAAGCCTTGTCACAAGTGGCAACAAAGAAGTACTAGTAGCACGTCTGAGAGAAGCTCTCATTGAGGAAGGTAAGAACCCAGACGAATTCAAGTTTGATGATGCTGACAAAGACAATGAAATTAACACAGGCACGTTTACAACGGCTAAAATGATGGCAAATTGAAGCGAAAATTGGAGCAATCCAAAAAAATGGCCATGCCGTTAGATCACGCATCCGGAAGAACGCAAAAGAAGAGAAGATGAGCCTGTATCACGGTCGGCCCCTTCTAACGAAGGGGCGGAAAACTAATAAGAGCCAACTTTGTGGGGCAGAGGTTGGCTAGTAGAATTGACGCCCCCAGTACCGTAATTAACGTTTCCAGACTACATCGAAATCGAAACGACCTATGGCTGAACGGAACAGTTGATCAACGAGAATGTGTAATTACAGTCGACACCGGAGCAACAAAATCGATTTTAAGATCTGATTTGGTACCCAATCTAAAGAAAGAGACTTCTAACAAATACATCCTTCGAACAGCTACCGGAGGAACAGCACCAGTTTATGGAAAGATTTTCCGTACTGTTCAGCTAGGCGACTTGTTATTCGAAGGTTCATTCTTAGTCGCGGATATCATTGACGAATGCATAATAGGTGTCGACTTTCTGACAAAATATGGGTTCAAAATTGACTTAGAAAAACGCATTCTTAGATGGAAAAATACAGAAGTGATAATGGGGGATAGCGACGAAAAATGCATTCGAGTGACAGTCGATTGTGACCTAGAACTACCTCAATCATCTGAAAACATCGTATGGGGCAAGTTGATGTGCGATCCAAGGGGCCACCAGTTCTATTTGATGGAGCCAACCTCAACTACAAATGTACAGAACGCGGTCATTGGAAAATGCCTGGTAGAAGTAAACAAAAATGGTCTTATTCCTGTCAGAATAATGAAAACCGCTAAACACACTATTAAAATTAAAAATGGCGAGGAAATAGGTAATTGCCAATCAATAAATTTGGTGAAATCATTAGATATGGAACAACAGGAAAAGGTTCTACCAACTGACAACTTACCAAAGAACTTACCAAAAATCTACTGGATGAACTCAATTTGTATCAAGAAGACCGTCTAAAAGCCGAGGCGTTGATTGCTGATTTTGCAGACGTGTTTTCAACCGGTGACAATGACCAAGGTAAAACAGCTCTGGTAACTAGCCGAATTGATACTCAGAATTCGAAACCGATCCGACAAGTACCACGACGTCTTCCTCTAGCAAAACAAACAGAAGTAAACGAAATGATAACGACAATGCAGAATCAAGGCGTCATCAAACCGTCATCAAGTCTCTGGATTTCGCCAGTTGTTTTGGTAAAGAAGAAGGACGGCACTACCCGTTTTTGCGTTGATTATAGGAAGTTAAATGATGTGACTAAAAAGGACAGCTATCCGTTACCGAGGATTGATGACATCATGGACACCCTATCTGGCTCAAGTTGGTTCTCTACGCTTGATTTGAAAAGCGGATACTGGCAAGTAGAAATCGACAAGAACGATCACGAAAAGACAGCGTTTTCTATCAGATCGGGGTTGTGACAATTCACCGTCATGCCATTTGGATTGTGCAATGCTCCAGCTACATTCGAGCGACTGATGGAATGTGTATTGCAAGGTCTTAACTGGAAAACCTGTCTTGTCTATTTAGACGACATAATTGTTCTAGGAAGAACATTTGATCAACACGTCGAAAACTTACGGGAGATCTTCACAAGACTTCGGGTGGCAAATTTTAAGCTGAACGTTAAAAAGTGCAGGTTATTTTCTAAAGAAGTTAACTATTTGGGACATGTGGTATCTTCAGATGGAGCTCGAACCGATCCCAGCAAGATAGAAATTGTGAAAGACTGGCCAATTCCAATGGATAAAAATGAATTGCGCAGTTTTCTGGAATTGGCAACGTACTATCGACGTTTTGTAAAGGATTTTGCAAAAGTTGCCAGATCTCTCCACCAACTTACCGAGAAGGACCGAGTTTTCAACTGGAATACCCTATGCGACTCAGCATTTGAAAAGTTAAAAATTGAACTATGTGATGCTCCTTTGCTAGCGTATCCAGTTCGTGGCAAGACGTTTGTGGTAGATACTGATGCAAGTACCAACGGAATCGAAGCCGTTTTGTCACAGCATATAGACGGAGAAGAAAAAATGCTAGCGTATTATAGCAGAGGATTCACAAAGCCCGAACGAAACTATTGTGTGACCAGGAAGGAGTTACTAGCAATAGTCAATGCAACAAAACACTTCCACAAGTACCTTTATGGACAGAAATTTCTTCTCCGAACTGATCATGCAGCGTTAAGATGGCTCCTCAACTTCAAGGATCTTGAAGGACAGATGGCCCGATGGTTGGAGCGTTTACAAATGTACGACTTCGAGATCGTGCACCGCAAAGGAACAACTCATAGTAATTCTGATGCTCCTCACGTCGACCATGTTTACCATGATGCAAATATTGCTGTCGTCATGAGGAGAAGATACAATCGGAAAACATAAGAGCAACAACAATATCAACGGATGACGGTTGGACACCGACGGATCTTGCTGATGCACAGTTTGCGGATGAAGACCTACAACATCTGATCACATGGAAGAAGGAGGGCAAGCGACCGGACTGGCAAAGCATCTCAGAATATAGTGCCGTGTTAAAGGGTTATTGGGCTCAGTGGGACTCATTGTATTTGGAAGGGGATTTGCTAAAACGAAAATGGGAATCAGCTGATGGATCAAAACACCGCATGCAAGTTATAATACTAAGAAGTAGAACGACCGAAATCCTTGATGAAATGCATGGCGGCCCTTCTGGGGGACATTTAGGAGTGAACAAGACCCTTGACAAAATACGAAAAGGATTCTACTGGCTTCACGTTAGAGAAGATGTAGAGAGCTGGTGTCGATAATGTAACACATGCGCTTCAGTCAAAGGACCCAAAAGAAGGCTAAAAGGAGCAATGCAAATCTACAATGTTGGTGTCCTTTTTGAACGGATTGCTATTGATATTGCTGGACCCTTTCCGGTATCAGATTATGGAAACCGTTACATTCTGGTTGTAGCGGACTATTTCAGCAAATGGCCTGAGGTGTTTCCAATACCCAACCAAGAAACATGTACCGACGCTGAGGAAATTGTACTCAAATGGATTAGTCGATATGGTGTCCCTTTGGAACTCCACTCATATCAAGGTCGAAATTTTGACTCACAACTGTTTGGTGAAATGAGCAAGCTGCTGGGTATAAACAAAACTCGAACGACACCTCTTCACCCACAGTCTGACGGTATGGTGGAACGATTTAACCAAACCCTGATTGAACATTTGGCTAAAGTAGTCGACGAAAATCAACGGGATTATGATCGTCATATACCATTGTTTCTTATGGCATACCGGAGTGCTATCCACACAACTACTGAAGAAACGCCATCAAAAGTTCTATTTGGGACTACCTTAAGGACTCCAGCTGATGTGAAATATGGCGTACTACCTGAACCACACCAACCATTAACAGAAAACGTGGATAATCTTCGACAGCGATTAAACCATATCCACCGTTACGTACGCCTTAAAATTACGAAAAACACGGAGGCGGCCAAAACCAGATACGACTTGAAAGGAAGCAGTGGCGGTTTTGCTGTCGACGAGTTAGTTTGGCTGTACAACCCACAGCGTTCTCCAAAGCTCCAGCGAGGGTGGGAAGGACCTTATCAAGTCATCACCCGCTTGTATGACGTCTTCTACTGTATTCAGGAATATCGGAAGCCGAGAGCAAGAATGAAGATCCTTCATTTGGATAGACTGGCTCCGTACCATGCGGACACCGGAGCGAAGGCTGTTCGGGACGAACAGAACTAAGAAGGGGGTAATGTTATAACCGTTCTACCGAACGCACTAGATTCTAGCGTATTCTAGAATGTTCTAGTGACTGGAGCATTCTAGAGTATGCTAGAATCGGACCATCTGGAAGAATCTAGAAACGACGCTTGCGAAGAGTATATAAGTGCACGTCGCAGGAAGATTAGCGATTAGTGAAATTCATGATTTTGTAAATTTGTGACTCTGTGATTTTGTGAATAGCGATTCGGTGAATTATTTAAAGCGATTTTTGATTTGTTTGTTGACGTTGTTATAGCGATAGATTTTGAACAATTTAGAAGTTAATTGTTGCGTTAATTTGAATTTGCTAGAAATAAACGATTAGTTGATTTCTTCTGTAAATAAAGTTTAATAACTAATAACTGTTTGGAGTATTTTATTCAATCGAAGATTTGAACCCGTCGCATCGTAAATCGGTTACGACAGCGAGTATTATAACAATATGTTTTATCGGATTGTGCATCAGTTGCAGCTTTGGCTCGATATACGAAGAGGCATAATACAATTTGAACGTTAATTAATTATTTAATTAATTTAAAGCTTGCGTTTTTTATGCAGATGTAAACACTGACGACCTACGTCCGATATCAACTATATTTGAACTACTACGTCCTGACGTACCGTAAACTCCATAAATAAATGTTTATTAACTCAACTTAATAATTATATTATTATTATAATTTCATCGATATGTGACAAATCATTTGACAGACCTTAAAATTGTGGCCAGTAGGAACATGTTCGTTGAGAACCTCCTAACATCTCGCAGCCTAACCACCACACATTTCGTCAGCGACACCAAACAATCAACCGACTTTTTCTGGTTCAGAGATTCTGGCATCAGAGTTAATCTCGGTGTTCAAAATGTACAGGTTAGTAAAATAATGATTGTTATATCAGATGGTGACGATGGTAACTGTGATGGCAACGGTTGTAATTAGTGTTGTTGGAGTTAACTGTAATAGAAACTGAAATATCAGTTAACTGATAAAATAAATTTCAGTTAACTGAAACTAAAACTGAAACTTAAAAAAATTAAAAAACTGAAACTTATTAAAAAACGAAATAGAAAAGATTTAAAAACTGAAATACAAACTCAAAAATGTTAATTGAAGTAAGGATGGATTTTCATATTTTTAACATTAGGAGGTGGACTGCGCAAATAAATTAGGGGGCCAATATATTTATTCAATGTATATGGTGAAATCTTAAATCATTTATGATCGTTGGTAAATAAAATTTAACAACAAGATTCCATTTTTACAATCGATATAAAACATCGCGTGGCAGTAGATTCGTAACATATAATTAGATTTAGAATAAAATTTGTATATGCAGAAAGCTTCAGGTCGTAGACAGGAGAGTTATGTATGGGAATATTTTCAATATGATCCAGTTACAGATAGGAGTACCTGTTTATGTGAAATCTCGAGCACATCAAGTTCACAAAGCACTTCAGCTTCAAGAGTTTGTGGTAAGACTTTGAAAGGAAAAAATGCAACAAATTTGAAAACTCATTTAGAATATTTTCATTCTGATGCTTTTAATAAAGTCAAAGATAAAGAAAAAGTGAAAAATAAATTGTCAAATAAAATCTGCAATGCTAGTGGTTCAGATCAGAAAACGCAACCTAAAATTGCTACTTTTGTTGATAAAATTAATGCATATAATGAAAACTCAAAAGTTTATAAGGATAAACTTGATGCTGTCGTTGATCTGTTTGCAAAGACAAGTTTGCCACTTTCCTTACTTGACTGTCCAGTGTTTCAACAATTTGTCAATACCATGGATTCACAGTTTAAATTACCAGGTAAGTACAAATACAGCATATAAAGTTATTTATAATATATTATAAATTGAAAATACAATTTACATTAATTATAATAATTTTGATGTAATACAGGTAGAGCTAAAATTGATTCAATAATGGAGCAGTTAATGACAGAGACACGTGAAACATATTGTCATATGTGCTTCCGGCAGTTCTTGATTTAGTTCCAGCCGCGGCAACGTTGCTTGACTTGAGATACAACTGGACTTTGCTAATGTCTGTTAACTCTGCTCTTTTATCTATGGCTAAAAAATATATAGTTCAAAAAATAAATGTAAATTGCAAAGATAGCAATCAACTTCAAATTGATCAGGACCTGCAACAACGTCCGGCGAAACGTTTTAAGCTGATGACCAGTCTAGTTTTGCCAACGTGCAGCCAAAGCCGAACAGATAAACTATTGAGTGTATATTCTGATGTAGAAGAAGAAATAGACAGATATATATCTAAAATTAATAGCCAGTTATTGCCAGAAGATGAAGATTCAATTGTTGCATGGAGCAAAAAGACAGACTTGCCACTTCTTTCTGGTATTGCTCCAAATATACTGGCCTTGCCATGTTCGCAGGCTTTCGTTGAACGATTGTTTTCAACATGTAGCATATTGACCGAAGGTCGACGAAATAAATTGAGCAACAACCTTGAGAAACGTTTGTTCCTAAAACATAATTTACAGCTTGTGTGAATATTTAATATTTTGTTTCTTAAATTGATTGTAATAAAATAAATCTCTGCCATTTGTAATTGTTTTGTTTTAATTTATTTAAAAAATCGGTAGTTCATGGATTTCAAAACTGAAACTTAAAATAAAACTAAAACTTAAATTGTAAAACTTAATAGAAACTGCAACTGAAAAAAAGATAAAACTGTAACTCAAACTCAAACTCAAATGGGCTTTGCAAAAACGAAATACAAACTCAAACTGAAAAAAAAACCGAAACTTGAACAACACTAGTTGTAATATTAGATGATGATGTCATATTAGACTATAAATATGGTGGTGATGGTGATGATTATGTCAGGTGTCGAAAAGAAGATGATTGGTGCATTAAATGATGATTGCGAAGGGTTACATAACAATGATGAGATGATGATACTCTTTATTGTTACATTATATTTTTAGATAATGATGATGGAGAAGAAGATGATTGTTGAATCAGATTATGATGATGATAGTTATTATTGCTATATTTGATGATGACAAAAATTTCATGAAACTCCGAAGAACAAATGTTTTTCAAAGGTCGTTTAAAGACGTTTTATTTAGGGGCTAATTTTTTAATTATTTTTTTGACCCGGTGCTATATTCGATTTTAATTTAATGTTGTTTTCCACAAGACGACTCTTGAATAATTTAGCGTATTTTTACAAATTTTGTGATTTTTTACAGACACAATTTTGAAAAATTTTGTGGTTTTTATTTTTCAATTAAAATTTGTTTTTCTTAGGATCGAATTTTTGACTACAGACAATATTTATTGCTATTTCGACATAATGATTTTTAAAAATTTTTCAACAGTTTTATGAAGTATTTGAAAAACATAAATTCTTACAAACTTAACGACACTCTTCTGTTGTTATGTTAATATTAATTCACAGTTCATTGAATTCTGTCCTGTTTCTTTGTTGAGTTTGTAGGTCCAAATTATCTGCTAACGTTCAATGTGAAATTAAAGAATCTCCGAAGAATTCAACACATCGGCTTGTTCTCAAATCTTTTGCCGTGTGAATTTTCGGTTGAATATTTTTTGTTTCTGCTGGGGTTCTTCAAATGAAAAAATTTAATCAAAACTGTTGTCATTATTATTATTATTATTAGTGTTGTTGTTTTTACTATTATTATTACCATTATTATTGTTATTATTATGCATAGTGACAGCAATAAAACAACGATGTGGAGACAGGCGATTTTCAACCACCATCATGCTTATTCAAGACATTGCGACCAGATTTCGCATTGCTTCGCGGCGAAACGTTGGAAATCTTGGAGTTGACAGTCTGCCATGAGACTAACTTTTTTAACTCTAAAAACTACAAACAATCAAAATACTCTAATAGCTTGAAAAATAACTTAAACGATGACTTAAAACATTTAAAAATAACAATAAATACATTTGAAATATCTACTTTAGGTCTCTTTAAAACATTTAATCTTTCATTAATAAATATTATTTGGACTGATTATTTTTGCAATAACCTTATAAACTCTGCTATGTCATCATCATACGCTATCTATTGCGACAGAAATGGGAAATGACTCAATTTTAAAACTAATTAACTCTGGTCGTACTCTCTCGATTCGAATGATGAGCTTCTCAGATTAATACTCTATTTATTGCATTTGACACTTTATTTTATTTCATTATTTTATTTTATTTGTACTGTCATTTTCATTGTTTTTTTTATTGCTGAATAAAATATCGTTTCCATTATTATTTCATTGATATTTGCACATGTACATAAACATTATCAAAGGCCCTCCTATACAGTCTTCATTATTGTTTCAGCTAAATTACTGGAATGTCAATGTTGCACAATAAATGCGTTGTATGCGCTGTGCATACTTGTACAAGAAAGTAAACTTCATGAAGTTTTATCAAATGTAAGCATTGACGTTTTTAAAATAATTTTCTCCAACGTCACTATTCTTTTTGAATCATTAATCCATATTTATTTTATACGTTCTTAAGAAATAAAAATTGAAAATAGCAAAAACAGCTAGAAAAAATTTACTCTGTTGTTTTACTCCGTATATTTAGTTTAATACAATATTCCATCTGGAAAGAATACATATTATTATTACTCAAATTAATTTTTATCCTAACTTTTATAAGTTTTATTTAGTTTCAAAAATGTTCCGCAACCAAGTTGCGCTGTTTTTATGTTTAAAAGATGCTGCTGCTCTTGATGACTTTCGAATCATTAAGGTCAGTAAACCAACGAGAGCGCACTTGTTTTCCAGTATCATCTACAATCTATTTGTAAGACGCCGATAAGTGAATCTTTTTTTTGTTCTTTGATTACTCTGTTTTTTTTTAAGTTTGTATTGGTTTCAGTAATTTTATGCTTTTAATTTTATTTGTCCGTTATGTTCAAGTTAACAAAAATAGTAGTCAAAATGTAATCCGACATTGAAAACTCTTCCAAATGTAAACTAACATAGCAAACATTTAAAGAGATCTGTATGTTGCAGCCTGTCATTAACAAGGGTCTTTCAGAGAGCACGTGTGGACATGATGAGGATGTTTTTTAGTTCTTTATTGTTGCTGATGGTCACATGGGAACTGTTGAGTTGGAAAAACTTGACGGCCATATACCATGAAATTTTTGCTGAGTGTGTTCTGTGATGGATCATTATTAAAGCGATCTTCTTTAAATAAGTTAAGGGATTTATCAATAATTTTTTAACAAAAATATTATTTGCGCTTCCAGCATAAATACTATTATAAATATTGTCGTTAAATAATACTAAACTCTTTATTACCAGTTGCATTCGATGATATTGTTTTGTTAACAAACGTTTTTAAAATTGTGCTGCTTTTTACAGTATTAATAAAAGTTTTTATTTTAATGTGTATTTTGTAAAAATTTTTTTAATATTTTATCTTTCTATTTATAAAAATAATGTTACGCTGATTAGAATTAATAATTAAAATTTTGTTAATGAATATAAAACAGTTAACAAATCAAACCGTGGACTGAGGGCATCTTGCTTTTTGTCCAAATGATAACTGATGGGCATGTTTGCAGATTGTAATCATTCAAATCACTGTTTACTTTGCACGATTTATTTAATGAAAATTCTTTTCAATGTTCGCTGACTAATTATTATGGGCTGAAACGATTGGAAGCCAAGAATTTCATTGTTTGTTACTTTTGGAGAAAAGAAAAAAAGACAAAATAGCAAATTAAATGAATTAAAATGGTGAATTGAAAACTGTTTGCAGGTGATACCAACATTTGAGGAGGTGGAGCACAAGGGCGACACGGAGTACATGATGAGCAAGCCGTCCAAGGATCAGTCACACGACAGGATTTGGAAGGAGTCTTTCAAAAACATCGTTCAAAATTACTGCAGGTTCGTAGGTCATTTTATTTCAATGCAACGAGTTTTATGGTGCTTGTGATGGTGTTTGTTTGTAAAACTAAACATGGATGACTACTTATTAATGTTTAACATTGTAGTAAAACATTAAAAAAATTTACTATTTGAGAGCGAACATTTAAAATTGAGTAACACGAGATAATCTTTTAGGAAAGAAATAATAATAAACGTTATCTGCTAATGACAACGCTCATGATTCATGAGGCAAAAATGAATAATGTAGTTGCTGGTTCAAATCCGACCATCTTCCACATCCATCCATCAATATTCCTATCTGATGGCGTCTCACAATGGTTTGTTGTGCAGTTTTTTGGACGCCACACGAGACGTTTTAATGAAACATTCGTAAAGATTTCAAGATATTCTGAAAGCGGCAAATAGTTTAAAAACTTTAGTGTTTCAAATATTTAACATATGGATGGTTTCAATGTTATTAAAAAATTGACAATTTGTAGTAACACTTATGTCTCTTCATATAAAATTTACTCATGAATCGCTAGGAACGTGTCGATGAATTTTACATACGTCCGTTGGAATCAGCCTATTTTATTGGATATTAACCATTTTAACAATATCAAAACATTAAACGTCCGCCTACCCAGCAACTCAGTGTTTAATTTATTTTCGCGAAACTTATTTTCTGCCCGTCTGAAACATAAATGACCGATCTACTAACACATTGTAGAGTAGAAATTGTCCTTGCGATCTCACAAAAAAACATTTTATGAAAATATAAATACAATTATAAAGGAACAGAATAATAAAAAATGACCCGAATAAAAAGAAAGTACAAGTGGGTACAGATGGAGGTGAGGCGTGAAAGGACGAACAACTAAAATGATGTTCGTGTTTTAAAAAGTAGAGTTATGACTCAGAATAATAATGAATGTAGAGAAATATCAATCATTAAAAAATAAATAAACATCTGTCATGATGCTGGTGCTAGGAAGGTGATGTTACATAAATTGCACACAATTTTGATTTCATCACGTGCTCAATCGCTGAAAGTCAAACAATGATAATAATTCATCTCACTTGCCCTCGCATCGATTCAAATTGCAAATAATATTTTTTAATAACGAACCTCAACGGCTCAACTATGCAATCTGGCATATTTTATGAATATATTTTTATAATTGACAATAAAGAAATGGTCAATCAATGCTAGCATTAACATCAATCAAATCAAATCAGACGACGCATGTTGAGACGTTTAAAATATTTTGATGTTGTAGAAATAGTTGATGTTTATTAATAATGGTTGATGGATGGATGTGACAGCAAATAGAAATATATGAATATAAAAATAAACTTGCTCACAAATCTAAGCACATAAGCAGATCATAGATGCGTGCCAAATTACTTCGTTCATGTTTATGCACACATATATTTTTGATTCAATAAAATATTTTTGATTTGATTAGATTGTTGTTTACTCTAGTATTTACTGTTAATTAAAAAATTATATATTAGAATTGTCAAATTTGTATTTATCGATGACAACTAGCTACAAAAATGATCCGTCATCTTCAAGCTGGTAGTAGTCTGTTTTTTTTTCAAATGTCACGAAAATCACATTG